CATTTAAACTGGTGTCGCTTCATTCACACTTTGCATTTGAAAACCTGTTACTATTGAGTGTCCGTTTGTGTAGCCCGTGTTCGAAGACTTTTGAGAGCACTGCTCAGTTGCCATCGGGTCCATTAGTGAGTTTCGTTTGCACTGACTGGATGGTTCGTTACTATACTTATCGAATTAATACAGTTGGATATGGTTGTCTCCCGGAGCCAGTACAATTTAGGTAGCGGTTTTTCAACTTGTAGACACCTTGTCAATATTCACACCAAACGCAAGCACAACCGGGATATCAAATAGGGAGCACGGAGTTTGACGGAAAATAACACACGAAGTGGACAGTAAATGTGCGGCAGAATGAAAGAACAGAGCGTATCAGATTTAATGTGTGATCTAGTGTAGTGGTGATCCTTTACGGATGTAATGGTAACACGAAAGCAGCGCCAAAAATAAACCGAGTATATTGCTGACGATTAACATAACATCTAACCGTCGCCATCATGGCACTACCAAGCTGCATCGAGAACAGTCAAATGAGAATATCCGCGAACTGGTAGCATACGGCGACAAAAGTCCCAGATGAAACTATTTACACTATTATAACCATGTAAAACCCAAACAGTTGACAGCCTCGCATGCCTGAGCATGATGCAGTGTAAATATGATCCGTCCCTTTGTGTGCTCCGTTTCTCGGTGTCACGAGAGCTATACCTATTATTATTATTATTATTATGCATGCGATCAACAAGCAACACCTGAAATGCCGGCACATGTATAGACCAATTGCAGCATTGATGTAGCACACGTACCACATCGACCACATTATGGGCTAGTTCCTGTCCTGATCGTATTAGTGCTTATCGGATTCAATTCGTAGAAACGTAAGGAAGAAGAACATTTCCTCTGAATGCCAGTGTATGAACGATCAGACACCGATGTGAACCGCCAGTGATTACCGACGTAATGGTTCCAATCCGATGTTTTCTCCCATAAGTGAGGTAGCATTTCGAAACCGAATCGGGGATCTCTCGGTAGACCAATAGCTCGCCAGCAACGTTTCAGTGCTCATACACTATCCTAGCAGTTAAATGGTACAGAGGTCAAGCAGCTCTGGGTGCTATTCCCATGTGGAATGGAAAACCTTTTTATTTCTGCCGTCGAATTATCACAGTGCCAGCAGTGGTCTGTAGGAATTGGGAAGGTGCTCCCGCTGTGGCTGTACCTTTGCAGTATAAACAGAACTTTGTTCTTTGCCTGCGTTATCGTGCCAACGACATTAGTAGAGCAATCTCGTTGTGCATTGGTCGTCACAGTGGGTGTCTTGTGGCACCACATTCGCGACGAGGTGACAGCTGCTGCCAAGGAGACCATCGGGTGCGCGAACTGTAAGCCGCCTGATTGGTTTGATGCGAACAATGCGCGCATGGGTGTGTGAGAAGAATGCAACATTTGTTGCACATATGGGGGAACCCAGAGACTTGGGGAAGAAGAGTCATTTTCGCGGAATTCGACGGCGAATGACCCGAGAGCTACGTTGCATAAAAAATGCATGGTGGACGGAGAAGGCGAAACAAATAGCATGCTATGCCGAACGCCGCCAACGTAAGGAATTCTTTGGCTCCTCGAAGGCGGTGTATGAACCGAGGTTGGAGCTATTCAGGACACTGCTTGATCCTATTTCAGGTACTGCCTGTACGAAGACTGCAGACATAATGCATATCTGGCGAAATCATTATGACCGTCTCTTGAACAACCCTTTGTAGATTGACTGGCCTACTGTAAACGGCCTGAAGCAGCACGATGTGAAGGCGAGTCTGGTGGACACACCGACACTGGATGAGGTGCAGAGAGCGCTTGCTCTGCTGCGAAACGGCAAGTATGTCGGTGCCGACGGGATCCCGCCTGAAGTATTGAAACACGGCGGACTCGCGTTGGTGACTGCGCTGCACCAACGGGAGCAACGCGTGTGGATTGAGCAGGAGGTGCCTCCTGAGGTGAAGGATGCGTTTGTGCTACCACTGTACAAGGGCAAAGGGAGCAAGCAATGTTGCACGAATTATTGTGGCATCAACTTGCTGAGTTGTGTCGGCATGGTGGTTGCCCGAATCCTGCTCAAGCGCCTCCTCCGTCAGGTTTTGAAACCTAACTTGTCTTGGCTGCTGACCTGTTTGATATTTATCTTCATGCTATGGTGTCTTGTGCTTTTGATGCTTCTTGTGCTTACGGTGTTCGTATGGAGCACCGTATTGATGGTGGGTTGCTGAACATCCGTCGTTTCGGTTCGAGTACCCTAGTCTGTGAGACAATGATCCATATGTTGCTATTTTCTGACGAGTGTGCGTTGTTCGCACATAGCGCGGATGAGTTGCAGCACATAACTAGTGCTCTGGCTTCGACCGTGGTCAAATTCGTGCTCACCGTCAACACAAGCAAAACTTTGTGTCTCCTTTCGAGTCTTTCACCGGTGATGCCAATCGCTTCAATCTTGCGCAAATCAGGCGATTTGGTACATGACTTGATTGGAAACCATCCTCCCGCTTGTGCTACTGTAGGGAGTGTGATGGTCAAACTGACCACGCAGCTTCACAGTGAGCTTCGTATTCGCGTGTCGAAGGCAGCGACAACATTCAGAGACTGCTAGAGTACCGATGGTGTGGAAACAACCATTCAGCCTTACCCATTGGCACGAAGCTGATGTGTGTACGCATCCATGGTGTTGTCCGTTCTTCTATACGGCAGTGAAACGTAGACGATGTACCGGCGGGATGTGCGATATGTCGAGCGGTTCCATCAGCAGTGTTTGCGACGGATTTTGCGCATCGGTTGGGGCGACAGAGTTGCTGACATGGAACTGTTGCGACAAAGTGGGATGTATGCAGTGGAATGCATACTTTTGCTGATACAACTGAGGTGACTCGATCCTGTGAGCCGTATGGATTCGACGCGGATACCGAGCCAACTCTTATACGATCAGCTGAATATTGGGAAGGGGCAGGTAGGGAAACCAAAGTTACGTTTCCAGGACATGATTAAAGTGAGCCTCTCACGTTTTAACCTTGATTGTAGGTCATGGGAATCGAAATAGCTTGATCGGTGTTCATGGCGCGATCTGATCACGAAAGCAGTTGCCGAGGCGCAGGAGAAAGACCTTATGCATGCTGAGAAGGAGTGACAAGTGCGGAAGCGGCAAGCACCTACATAGAGCGCATGGTGCTGTAGCACATGCAGTCGCGACTGCCTTAGTCAGGCAGGCCTGGTAAGCCATGAGCGAGGCGACGACGTGTCCTGCAGAGAACGTAGGCAGAACCGGCGCAGCGTTTGTAGGTACGCCGTATTCGATTTGCTAACCGCTTGCTTGCAAGCTAGGTTTCTTTATTTCAGGTAGTGGGTTTGCTATATTGTCTCATTATCGCCTACGTCAACGATCTTCTATTAACTTGCACACGTCGCTCAATTTAATGGTAGTTTGTGGCATTTTCCTAACATATATTTCCTGCCCTTTTGAAACTATAGCGGATGGTTTGGCAACCAATTTATTTCGTATGCTCCTTTACTAAAAAGCTATGTCGGCATATCTCTATGCATTCATCGAGTTATTGTATTTGCTATTGTCGTTTCAAGTGATTGGTTGTTGCTTGATTTCCCTGGTGCGCCTGCGCACGGCGCGCATGTTGACAAGGTGCCTACCTGTCTGTTACCCACTACCGGCTGCAGGAGACAGTTGGTCGTTGCTGGAGGGAACGGGTGCACGGTCCTTTTGACCGTGTTAGGATCAAAGAGTGGTACCATGTGTAAGATTCAAAAATCGCTTAGGATAGTTGGACAACGCGTAGGGCACCGATTCGCGGCCTCCGACTGGGGATCAATGAGCGACAAGGATCGGAGTTTGTGTGTAGGCACCGGAGAAACAAAAAAGCCACAGTCGATGCTGAACTACGTGCTATTATACAAAGAGTAAAAGATCAAAGTGACAACATACTTCAACAATGTCCTCAAACAAAGACAAGTACAATCAGCTGGCCGTTACAAGAACAGGACATCAATACGGTCGTCCAGTCAGCAAAATGACCCAGCGCGGTTACATGACATGCGAGACATGCACCAGTGAGCCAATCAAGAAACCAACAGCCACTAGTCCAATCACATCAAGCGGGTTCAATGGGGGACACATTATGAAGACCTGAGGTTAGGGGCACATGTCAGCCGGATGGGTGGTGTGTCCACCCCACAAAATCTCCGGTCTACCCTGACCTCAATAGTAACACGCAAATGGAACAAGTGCGAAGCGGTGATCGATAAAGTGGAGCATGCATCAAAGAAAGTAGCGAGACAGGTGGTGTCACCAATGTAAGGTGGGCATGGAAAACAAACGACTAAGGGTCATGCAGGGCGGTATACGTGGAACGTTCAAACAGAGTGAATTCAAGGGGAATTAGGGCAATAATGTGGGTCCAGGCGAAGGGTGATGGCTGTTGACAAAATGGACGTTACACTCCCCTCGCGAAAATCTGTCCCGGATTTTCCAGTGGATGAGGACGACACGTTCTGTTCTGGATCGCCCTACGCCAACTCCATCCGCTATGGGAGGTCACAGGACGCCTGATCCCTCCCACTTCGGCTGTTGGACTCACAGTGGTCCTCCCTGGAGCAGCAGATCCGAAGACCCGCCTCCCACCTGCGGAGAGCCAACAGCCGGAACTACAATCCCACCCGTGTCACTTCCTTCTAACAAACAGAGCTTACGCACGTCTCTTTTGTACAACCCTTCCTTTGTTCTGACAACAGCCCTCCTGACGAGCCCATCTCCAGAATCAGTGCAGCTCTCAATAACTCCCAATGGCCATGTTCCACGCGAGCTCGCTTCAGAAGAGACCAAAACCACGTCACCTGGTCTAAAATTTCGACTGCTGTGTAACCACTTTTGTCTCGATTGCAACAACGGCAAATACTCTCTGACCCATCTTTTCCAGAACAACGCAGTTAGGTAATTCACCTGTCGTCAACAGCGGTTATATTCTTCAGGCAGGGCCGTTAATATATGCGTTGCGTTGGATCGCAATATCAGCAAATCGTTAGGTGTAAGTGCCTCGCGGTCGTTGGGGTCCGAAGTTAGCGGTACAAGTGGTCTACTGTTGACGATGCGCTCCGCTTCAATAAGGAGAGTGTTCAGTGTCTCGTCATCCAACGTCTGCTGCCCTGCGACAGATAACAGGATCCGCCTAACAGACCTAATGATGCGTTCCCAAATACCACCTCTGTGACTGGCCATCGGTGGGTTGTAGTGCCACTGCACTCCCATACTCAGTAGCTTATCATTGATCTTTGCTTGTGACCAGCTCTTCATGGCAGTACGCAACTCAGTAGCAGCACCCAAAAAAATTGCCCCCATTATCACTGAATATTTCGGCCGGGGTCCCTCTGCGGGCAACAAATCGTTTCAGGGCCATGATAAAAGAGTCAGTACTCAATGTAGGTGAGAGTTCGATGTGTACGGCTCGTGCTTGCATACATGTAAATAGGCATCCATAGCGCTTCTCTTGTCTCCGCCCGTGTTTAACAATAAATGGTCCGAAATAATCCACGCCGACAAACTTGAAGGGGTGCCATCCCCGTTCCACACGGGCTAGCGGCAACGGTGCCATTAGCTGCTGACCGGCAGTGGCGAGTCTTTTTTTGCATGTCCAACAAGTTCCTACTAATCGCTTTACTGCCGCCATTCCACGAACTATCCAATATTTACGGCGTAGACTAGCCAGAACTTGAGAAACACTTGCGTGACCTTCCAGCAAGTGATAAAAGCGGATCAACAAATCGGTGACAGTGTGCTTGGGAGGTAGTATAATTGGAAACTTAAAGGAAGCATCGTACTCCGAGTAGGCCAATCTACCACCTAGACAAAGCAAGCCATCACGCATTATTGGGTGTAGTCGCGCCAGAGGACCTCGCAGTATTTCCCCCTTAGGAGCCGCCAAGTCCCCAGCTATCTTTTCGAGTCGTGTTAGTTCCGCTCGATAAAATTCGAGCTGCGCGATTCGAATGACGTCGTACTCGGCCCTGTGAAGTTCCTTTAGAGTAATTAACCGAGCATGTTGCAGCACTCCACTGGTTCCACACCTACGAGCATTCAGGTACTGCTTGATTCGAGAGAGCCACACAACAGTCCTTAACAACTTAACCCAGTCTGAATACCCTTGGATTAGAGTAGACAATGGTGTTTCCTTTGAGGTTGCGTAGACCTGAACAGTAAAATGCTTCAGTTCTGCATCTTCCGGCTCGCAACTAAGGCAGAATTCGGGCCAATCATCGTTCTCGCTCAGTAGAAAATCTGGCCCGAGCAACCAGTTCTTTAAGGAGGCTAGAGATGTAGTACCTCTCGATAGCGGTTCAGCAGGATTGCAACCGGATTTGACGTGTTTCCATTGGCTGGGTGTGGACAATTCATGGATGATTGTCAGTCGGGTTTACACTGGATATGGGATGTGTGGTTGGAGCGGTTGATCGGCGTGCATGGCGAGATCTAATCATGAAGGCAGTTGCCGAAGGGCGTAAAAAAGACCTCACATGCAGAGAAGAAGCGGCAATTGTGAAAGCGGCAAGCACCGATGGGTTGTACTCTATCGACATCGAGCGCATGGTGCTGTAGCACATGCGGTCGCGAGTGCCTGAGTCAGACAGCCCTAGTGAGCCATGAGCGAGGCCACTCGGGATCACTACCGAAGCGACGACCGGTCCTGCAGGAAACGTAGGCAGAACCGGCGCAGCGTTTGTAGGTACGCTGCATTCGATTTACTAACAGCGTGCTTGCATGCTAAGTCTCTTTATTTCAGGTGGTGGGTTTTCAATTTTGTTGATGCTTTATATGAATTATTAGTGAAACTTTGGGAGCAAGAGACTGTCGCAACCGACTGGAGCCGCTTCGTTATTGTTCCCATCTTCAAAGGCGGCTCGCGTTCGGAATGCGGCAACCATAGAGGAATCAGTCTGATCTCTATCGCCTTCAAATTACTCGCCTCCATAATTCTTCACAGACTGACTGGCGCTCGTGAAAGCCAGATTCGGGAGGAGCAAGCCGGGTTTCGTAGGGGTCGTGGCTGCATCGGCCACATCTTCACCTTGCGTCAGTTGTTGGAGCACCGTCACACATATTGGCGGCCCACAGTAGTCGTGTTCCTCGACATCAAACTTGCGTTCGATTCAGTTGATCGATGTGCCCTTTGGTATTGTCTACTCAGGAAAGGTGTGCCCAAGAAATATGTAAATATTATCCAAGCATTGTACGCACGCAGCACGGCAGAGTGAGAGCTTACGGCAAGTTGTCGCCACCCTTCGATATCTCCAGCGGTGTGAGACAAAGATGCGCGCTGTCACCTTTCCTCTTCAACTTCGCTATTGACGAAGTCATGGAGATTGCATTTACAGGACATGACTTGGAAGGTGTGGAACTACTCCCAGGAGAATGACTTATTGACTTGGAGTATGCAGACGACGCTGCTCTCATCTGTGACAGCTTTCAGACGTGCCAAGCTGCGCTGGACAGATTAGCACTGGCTGTCAGCCGTTTCGGGCTTTACTGTGCAGCATCGAAATGCAAAGCGTCCCTCCAAGATTGACAGGGATTGCCTCCTGCGCTGACCTTTGGTGGAGATCAGCTAAAAATCGTTCGGAAATTCAACTACCTGGGAAGTTGTATCAGCACCTTTGGGATCGAAGACGGGATCACGAACCATACAGCAAAAGCTCGAATTGCTTTGCTGGTCTTCGCCAGCTATGGCGGCGGCGCGGCATTACTCTCGCCCTGAAGGGTAGAGTGTACAATGCAGCGGTACGTTCGATCCTACTGCACGGTTGCGAAACCTTTCCTCAAAGATTAGCAGACATGAAGAGGCTAGTTACGTTCGACCATCGGTGCCTTCGCAGTTTGGCTCACATCTGGTGGGAACACCGCGTGAGTAACGAGCGTGTTCGACGCCTTGTTTACGGCCCAGGAAAAGGAAATGAACCGCTCAGCACCGCGATTTCACGCACCAGGCTCCGATGGCTGGGCCACATGTTGCGCATGCCAGCCCACCGCCTTCCACAACGTGCGTTGTTTGCGGGCCGGGGATGTGGATGGAAGAAGAGGAGGGGCGGTCAAGCGATGACTTGGTCGAGAGGAATGACGGTCCTCACTTCGGAGCTGGCCTCGTTTGGAGCGTCACGGCTCCCTGGTTGGGGTCCAAAAGACGGTGAACACACGTTTGGCTGGATACACGTTATGACATGGCAAGGAGCCGACGTCATTGGCGTTCCTGCTGTGAGTTTCTTTATCCCTCCCTATCCCTTTTAGCCTCCCCCTCCACCTACGATCTCATTTCATAGGGTAAAACATAATAATTTATCTTTTACCTAATAGCCGACTAGTAGCTTACCGGAATGATGCCTATCCGTTGCTGGTAGCTCAGCTGGCATGTAACTGTTGTATTTATTTTGCTTTTCCTTTATGTATTGCGGCACGGTAGCTGAGGTATTTTCCACGTCTAGCTGACGTGTATAATGATGAATGATGATGATGGCTACTGAAGATCACGGTTTGTATGGAAGCGCACGCAGTGTCTGCGATGGGGTGCAAACGCACGCAGTTGGGTGCGAGCGATGGGACGACTTGGTAACTGCCACTTAGACGCCTGCTGTGGCCCTACCTTTACAGTGGAAACGGAACATAGTTTTTCTGTTAGGTTATCATGCCAGCCAATATGATGTGTAGACGCGTTGCGGGCCACCCTGCTTCTTTCATTCCAAAGCATTCTGTCTTTATTGATCCACGACCGTGATGTTGTTCATGGAGAGCTTTTCCCAGACCCTTTTGTTGGATCCCCGTCCAATTAATTTTCAGCTGGCTTGTTGTCAGCGATACCGACACCGTAAATATCTTGAGCTCCTGAGACACTATTGCCTGAGATGGAAAGCGCGCATTCGTTGTCGATGGCTATGGTGTCATCGATTCCCTACGAGGTTGCCATTTTGTAAACGTGTTACCATTGTGCAACGCACATCAATTTCTAGGTTGTGAAGAGTAAGCAATGTCCGTTTGACGAATCGGGTGCAACATGTTGACGATGAACGAACAAACGAGGAAATAAGACACCTGGTTTGAGTGCGTCGATAGCACTAGTTACAAAGTCAGCAGCAAATTCTTCCTCCAAAGACAGAGAAGGGGGAATTTTCAGGAGTAGAACTGAACACCATGAACGCGCATTGGCTACTGGGTCTAGCGGGCAAGTGATGCTCCACAGCTGCCCATTTCGAGAAAAGTACTCTCTCTCTCTCTCTCTCTCTCTCTCTCTCTCTCTAGTCTTTGACTCAACCGTGCAACTTCGTGATGTTTAGGGTCGGAGAATATTTATTGACGTAGGCTTAGATTGAGATGCCAATACGATACTATTGCGGCTGAAATAATTCTACGAAGTGTAGGTGGCAGATTTACCTGAAGGGTCTTGAGCAACGGGTGTCCCTCATACGCCAAAGCCGTTTCAGCATACGGCACTGCTTCGTTGCGAATCGCAGCATTATGTGCTTTAAGCGCAATTCCGTAACAACAGCTCACCGTTTGTACAAGTAGTCAACAAATGTGGCTCCAAATGACACGTACAGTCAGTAACGTCACCTCAGCACGCTGCGTTTTCTATGACAAGTTGAGCTAAGGGAGACAAGTCCTCAGGGTCCGCTAGAGTAGGTTGCACGCACGATCTGCACTCGCTTTAATGTCCCAACAGTGTAGATCACCAAGTCTACGGTGGCTTGCGGTATCAGATGCGACAGCCATGAACCACACTCATGCTGATGTTCAGACAGTGTAATTTCACTGAATATACTACCCACAGCGCTACGATTATGAGCATTACTCACATCAGTGTCCAAACAGTGGTTCCCGATGTTCATCAGGGTTGACAGATGATCAATGAAACAAGTACGGTAGTGAATCTATTTGTTAGAGTGCTTGCAGGCTTGATGACCTCGATCAGCTGGAGTAGGGGATCATACTTGAGGCACCCAGCATTGCGTTGGAAGGCTGTCAGAGGATGGAGTCACCATTCTTTGTACGTGGCGCACTGTGTTCTTGGGAATAAAGTCGTTTCGATGCGTTCGTTGGCGCTGAGAACAAAAGAAGTCTCGTGGCGATAACATATCGGCAGACATGTTGTGTATACTCACTCGGAAGTGGAAGTAGTTCACTATTGGCCGACCAGACGCGGGTGGATCAAATTTGGCTATTTCTCTCACTGGAAAGAAGTCGACCGTCTGCGACAGTTGCGTTTTCTACTGACTAGGAGTGTGGTCCCATTGAGGCACATTTCATCTTAAGACAATAAGATTGTACCAAAATATAAGGCACATTGTCCGATGCATACTATAGGAATAAAGCAGGCACTGAGTGTAAGTGTCACGCACTCCATCTGTTGACCATCCTTTTCCACTATTGTGTTGGGGCACACTGCGTGAGATGTGTTACTCTGCCTCATGTAACATATTTTGATAAGTGATATGATACGTTTCCAGTTCCAAATTGGCCGCACACCAATAACCTTTGGTCTTCATGAGAAATTCTCTAGTATGCCTATGGTCTTCCTACACTTAGGTGTGTGCTCTCATTCTATCAAATCATCCATTTTGTAGCTGTGTCGCCCTCTTGATGTTCATCTGTGACTATTCACTTTGTGTTCCCCAATTCAGCACAGCGTCCCTATACATGCGAACAGTGTGGTAAATCGTTTTCAGCGAAATGTTATATGCGAAGACATTTCAGATCTGTTGCTTTGAAAGACTCACAGCGAACTGCGTCATAGTTTTACTTTACACGGAGCACAGTGTTCGTGGGAATTAAGTGGTTCCGATGCTTGTGGCGGCACTGAAAGCACTCAAAGTGGAGTGGGGATGACAAATTGGAAGGCGCGGTATGTTTGCTCAGTCGGAAAGGGAAGTATTAGTTCATCACGGAGAGATATGTATTTGGCGTGGTCAATCGCTTGTGGTGTGAACAACGCGAGTTACATCTTTCACTGACTAGCAATGTGGTCCATCGCAGTGTCTTTCATCCTTGTGATCCTTAAATATTCTTCGTTTACCAAAACATAAAGCACATTGCTCGGTACATACTGCTGGAATGAAGCACTTACTGACTGTAGGCGACATGCACTTCACCTATTACCCATTCGTTTCCAGTTTTGTATTGCGGCGCATTAGCGGAAGCATGTTTTTCACTCTCAGCTAACGTGTATGGGTATATGGTATCTTTCCAGTTCCAAGATGGCCGCACGCCAACAGCCTTTAGTTTTAATGGCAAGTTCTATAATATACCTACACTATTACGTGTGTGTTCTTATTCTAGCCAATCATTTATTCTGTAGCTGTGTCGCCCTCTTGATGTTCATCTGTGACTATTCACTTTCTGTTCCCCAATTCAGCACAGCGCTCCTATACATGTGATCAGTGTGGTAAATCGTTTTCACAGAAGTGGATTATTCGGAAGCATCTCATATCCGTTCATTCAAGTGATTGTTTAACTGATGGTGATGATTAAATTCATTTTTACGGATTGCGTTGTAGTATCAGAGATGGTATCACGAGGCTTCGGTTTGATGAGTCATACTACTTGCGGTAGCTTCTTGTTTTATTCTTTTCACGACCCAGAATTGTGTAGTTCCGCACAATGTTCTTTTTTTCAAACCCAACAGTGCATTTGGCTTAGGAGCAAAGACCTAGCAAACTAGCATACACATTTATAAGTGGGGGTTTAATATGAGATAGAGCATCATCATTGACTCTCAGTCAGGTTTTGGGTAAACTGGAAAAGCACTAGACACAGTGTTTCGACATTCTGTGTCTCGGCCGAGGTGCGTCTTCCAACGGATTCCTGCTGGGTTCCGTCCCCATAAATTCCGAATACCAGCAGCTAATGCCCCGTCGCCTAGGGGGCCGCCGCAAACCTGCGTGACTGAGAGTTGACTATGACATAGTCCGGCTGATTTTCCAGTGCCATGCCAGTTACGAAGAGCTAGGAATTACCGCATAGCGCCTTGGTAAAACGTGAGGTCTTATTACATCGGGCTTACACTGGATATGGGGTATGTGGTTGGAGCTGGGGATTATGTAGCGCAAGCCATCCATTGTCTACCTGTAAGCGCAGGCATCTTGTGGCTGCCCTCTGAGTGAGTTAACCCGTTGCCAACGTTTTTCACTAAAACTGCGTGTTCAAGTCAACCATTCTCGCCGGCCACTGACCGTCCCGCCCCCTGGGATGTCCCTTTGGATCCACCCTCACACTCAGAAGTCGAAAAGTGAGATCGCACTGTTGAAGTTAAATAAAACAGCGCGACCAGATTACATCCATCCAGCCATCTTCAAATTCCGGGGACCTGCTCTTGTAGATGACTTATACCACTTACTAGTGAAACTGCGGGAGCAGGAAATTGTTCTAACCGATTGGAGCCGCTCCGTCATAGTCCCAATTTTCAAGGGAAGTCCACGATCGGAATGCGACAACCATAGATGAATCAGTCTGCTCTCCATCGCCTCCAAATCGCTTGCCTCTGTCATCATTCGCAGACTGACTGGCAACTGTGAAAGCCAAATTCGTGAAGAGCAAGTCGGCTTTCGTTGATGTCGTGGCCGCATTGACCATATCTGCACTTTGCATCAGTTGCTGGAGCACCGTCACATATTCGCGGCCCACCGTTGTCGCGTTCTTCGATATCAAAGGTATATTGGATTCGATGGATAGACGTGCACTTTGGGACTGTCTACTCAGGAAAGGTGTACCTGAGAAATATGTGAATATTATCCGATCATTATACGCGCGTAGCTCAGGCAGAGTAAGGGCTTACGGCAAGCTGTCGTCGCCCTTTAATATCGCCAGCAGTGTGAGACAAGGATGCCCGCTGTCACCTTTCCTCTTCAACTTCGCTATTGACGAAGTCATGGAAATCGCGTGCGCAGGGCACAACTTAGGTGTGGATCTGCTCCCAGAAGAACGACTCCTTGACTTAGAGTATGCTGATGATATTGACCTAATTGGTGACAGCTCCCAGACGTGCCAAGCGGCACTGGACAGATTAGCAATGGCTGTCAACCGCTTCGGGCTTTGCTTTGCACCATCGAAGTGCAAAGCGTTCCTCCAAGATTGGCTTGGACCGCCTCCTGCGCTGACCCTTGGTGGGGATCAGCTAGAAGTCGTACAAAATCCAACTACCTGGGAAGTTGTATCAGTGCCCGTGGGATTGAAGATGAGATAACGAACCGTATAGCAAAAGCTCGAGGCGCTTTTGCTAATCTTCGCCACTTGTGGTACCGGCACGCCATCACTCTCGCCCTGAAGATTAGAGTATACAATGCAGCGGTACTTTCGACCCTATTGTACGGTTGTGAAACCTGGCCCCTTAGATCAGCGGACATAAAGAGGCTATTTACGTTCGACCACCTGTGCCTTCGCAATTTAGCTCACATCTGGTGGGTACAACGCGCGAGCAACGAGCGCGTTCGATGACTTGTTTACGGCACAGGAAAAAGAACTGAACCACTCAGCACCGTTATTTCACGCACCAGAATCCGATGGCTCGGCGACGTGCTGCGCATGCCAGCCCACAGACTCCAGCTACGTGTGTTGTTTGCGCGCCGGGGGTGTAGATGGAAGAAGTGGAGAAGTGGCCAAGCGATGACTTGGTCGAGAGGAATGAAGGCCCTCACTTCCAAGCTGGCCTCGGCTCCCTGGTTGGGGTCCGAAAGACGATGAACACGTTTGGCTGGATACACTTGTTGATATGGTTAGGAGCCGACCTCAATGGCGTTCGTGCTGTGAGTTTATTTGTCCCACGCCATCCCTCTTAGCCTTACGCTTCAACCGCGATTGCATTATTTAGTATTTTATAATTATGCATAGAAAATTACTTTTTTCTGCTGCATAGTTGTAGTCGGCAGGTAGCTTATCGGAACGATGCCCATCCGTTACCGGTAGCTCAGCTGGCTTGCACCCGTTGCATTGTATACCCGTTTTTCTTTTAGGTATTGCGGCACAGTAGCTGAGGTTTCCCACCTCCAGCTAACGTGTATTTTGGCACGGATAACTCAAAGGGGTTTTTACTGGTACACAGAAGTTAAAATTACATACAAAAGTACACATGTACTTGAAGTACTAACAAAAGATTGCGGTGGAAGTCAAATACAGAGGGGGTTTCCAAGCGAGCTGTATGCACATTCATCGGGTCAATTACTCTGTCAGTAACGAGCCAAATGCACGTAAACGTCGCATTGCCACCCGTGTCTATTCACATTGGGAGACAATTGTACTGACCAACAGCGTTCCAATCCCGCCGCATGTAATGAAGGCCATCGCCACATTATGAAGTGACTTGTACCTTGCTCTCCTGCTTCAATTCTACTTGTGCAACCATGTTACCATTCGAAGCTGAGTGTCCAACCTCTACAATAGAGGAGCAAACAACAATGAGGTAAACGTTTGTCACAAAGTTGCAACAATTATTAATCTAACAATAATTATAGTGTGTTCTCGGTTGCGAGGTGTGTCTGGCCTTTGCTGCTAAAGCCAATGCATTGGTGGACTTGAAAAACTGAACAACTTGCAGAAGTACGTGATTCTGGGAAGTGAGAAGATCAAACAGAAGCCACGTGACACCAGCGCATGCGATAAAATTAATGCAACTAGTGTCATCATTTAAACACTCACTTGAATGAACAGATTTGAAATGTTTTCGCAAATTACCCTTCTGTGAAAACGATTTACCACACTGTTCGCATGTATAGGGGCGCTGTGCTGAATTAGGGAACAGAAAGTGAATAGTCACAGGTGAACATCAAGAGGAGGACACAGCTACAGAATGGATGATTGGCTAGAATAGGAACACATACGTAACAGTGTAGGCATAGTATGGAACTTGCCATGAAAACTAAAAGTTGGCGGCGGACGGCCATCTTGGAACTGGAAAGATACCATATACCCTTACATGTTAGCTGAGAGTGAACAACACGCTTCCGCTAATGCGTCGCAATACAAAACTGGAAACGGATGGGTAATAGGTGAAGTGCGTGTCGCCTACAATCAATAAGTGCTTCATTCCAGCAGTATGCATCGAGAAGTGTGCCTTATGTATTGGAACACTAATAATACTTAAGGATCACAATAATGGACCAGATTGCTAGTCAGTGAAAGATGCAACTCGCGTCTGGTCCGTGACGTTGTTCACACCACAAGCGATTGACCACGCCAAATACATCTCTCTCCGTGATGAACTAATACTTCCACTTCAGACAGTACACACAACGCGTCTTCAAATTTGTCATCGTCACCCGATTTCGTGTGCTTTCAGTGTCACCACAAGCATCCGAAGCACTTAATTCCCACGAACACTGTGCTCCATGCAAATTAAAATTATGACCCCATTCCCTGTGAGCCTTTCAACGCAACGCTGTGTGTGTGTCCTCAATCTGAACTACGATTCTACACTCGAAGTGTTAATCTCGTCCTATGATGACGGTCATCAAGCCGGCAGGCACGCTAATAAATAGATTCACTACGGTATCTGTTTCACTGAGTATCTATTAACAACGACAAAGCTCTGGCACCGTTAATCGTATCTACCCATTAGAACTGTTTGGATACTTACGTGAGAAATGCATGTGAGCGTGACACTGCAAGTCGTACAGTCGGTGAAATTACACTGTCTGAACAGGTAGGTGTGTGTGGCACATGGTTGTCACATCTGACACCGCAAACCACCGTAGCGTCGGAGACTCACACTGTTTGCAAATAGTAATGGGTGGAGATGGTGCGTACAACCTACTCCTCCGCTCACTGCTCAATGTGTTATACAAAATGCAGTGTACTGGGGCGTCAATACCGTGTATACGTGTCACCAGAAGCAACACTTGTTGCCTTTCTGAACGAATGGAGAGCAGTTGTTGTGGAATTGCATTGGAAGCTCACATTGTTACGGTTCGCATCAAAGTAGTGCCGTGTGCTAAAACAGCTTTGGTGTATAAGGAACACATGTTGCCCAAGGACTCCCAAGTAATTCTGTTACTTGTGCTTCGTGAATACTTTCAGCCACACAACGGTATCATAACATCTCCACCTATACCTACGTCGAAAGAACATTCTCCGACCCTAAACATCACGATTTAGCAGGTCAAAGGAAGAGCATTTTTCTCGGAATGGGAAGTCGGGCATTCATTCGCCCTCTACACCCAGTGGTCAATGCTTGTTCTTTTGTGTGTTTCTACTCTTGCAATTTCTCCCTCCTCTCGCTATACAGCAACAGTTTGCTGATGACTTCGCAACTAGTGCTACCGACGCATTCAAAGAAACTGGCTTATTTTCCGCTTGTTCGTACAACATCTGTATGGTGCATAAGCTGGGTCGAAAGACATTGCGCACTCTCCATTTCCTAGGACTTGATGCGTGTTGCACAGTCAAAATATGTTTACAAGATGGCGGCCTCGTAACGAATCCACTATCCTCTGATCCCGAAGCTAATGACAACGAATGCGCGCTTTGTAACTCTGTCGACAGTGCCTTAGTAATTCAAGGTACTTATGGTATCGGTATCACTGTCAGCAAGCAAGCCAAAAAGTAGGGATAGATGCGGTAAGTGCTGATTGCACTGATCAAGACTGGCATACATCTCATAACAGTGTCGTCGGAGTAGTCCGCTGCTATCGACACCCGGGTCTGAATGGAACCGTAAGGTGGGTGCATTTCTACGGGCCTATTAGAAATATGCACTGCTAGTATGCGGTATGTAGGTTACCTCCAGTACATTGAATCAGCGATGGGTAATCGGTACGCTCTACGGATCGTTACACAAGTGAGGACACGTCTAACCTTCATCAAAGTGTCTGCATCATTTGCACAAATGGAAAGGTCCATGCTAGTCCGCTGAGTTCATCGATATGCAGTATGTAAATGCAGACCAAGTTGATGATCGAGGTGTGAATGAAGGTCGACAGTGATCATACGAGACTCGGGAGTCACGACGGGAATCAGAACACGCTAGCTTCAAGTGACTACGCAGTCTAACGGCACAGGCGCAAGAAAAGCGATTAGAATTTCAGCCCAAAAGTAGTGATCGGTCGAGTGTGTCAAATATGTAAACACGAGAAAGTAGGCCCCGTAAAGCTAGTTAATGAAGATGTTCTCTAGTCTTGACTAGACTGACGAACATGGTGCGGTGCAGGCTACGGCTAGCCAGGTTGACCGCAAACAAATAGCCGCATAGTTATCATGCCCTTATCGGCCAAGGGCTTTCCAATTTCCATCGTCACCCAATGCAGTCACTATTCATATGAATCAGATTAACTTCCTGCGTTCAGTGCTCAACGTTTTACGGAACCGTTCCCCATGGATCATGACTTATGCAAACCAAGCAGGTTTAGCATGTGCCGTGTTTATATTCACGCGCGCACCTTTTTTTCTAACAACTTTCACAGTTTCGAAAGTGCATTCGATAAAGGGTTCTCCGCGCTATCCGGTGAGCCCGGAATCAATCCTACTGGACCATTCCTAAGGAAGCTACGACTCTATTTGTGGCTTGCGAGTACATTCGCTCACCCCAAACAAAGTCCCGGACATTCGTCCTCACATTCATTGAGAATCGGCTTTACGAACAGATCCACTTGCACCGATCGCAGTCTCCATTAAGCAACTGATCGAAGAGCAGTTCAAATCGGAGGTTCAAGTTGAACCACCTCGACGTTGGATCCCAAAACCATTTTATTACTTTAAGTGAGATCCGCAGAATACAAATCGAATATTCACTGAAGCTGCCATTTTCGCAAAAGATCACGATTTGTTCTTAGACCAAGATGAAATAAAACGCTGCATCAACATGATTTAAAGGGAAATCATGCGAGGCGGTGCCTTTTAGGAATTTACGTGTAATGTTACGACGATTCATCCCAACTTTTATGTAAACCGCAGACCCGAATTTGCTTCACTCTTCGCACAAGTTCGAAGATGTCATGGATGCACGATTGTGCTCTGGTATTGTATAGTGTCCGAAAGCCGAGTAGAACAAGGGAGAAAGAGGTTGAAAAAGCTGGAGTGTGACAAGAGCCGTGGGTGGTTGGGATGAAAATCCTAATTTCAAAAATAATCGTTGCTATCAACATGCATCGCGTATCCATAGACCCACTATAGCCAACACACAAGCACAAACGTAATTCTGATGATGAGTACGGTGTATGTGCGCATTACGTCATCTCCCGACGAACATGAGTTATATCGTGCAATGGACATGACTTGATGCATAATCATGTGGGATTTCAATTAGGATAGAGTTCAGGCTAGAACTGCTCCAAGTGGAAAGCGCTCCACACAAACTCAGAGGGAGAAAATCCGGCACATTCAAACCGGCTAGATTGTGCGACTAACGTCAGTTGGAGCACGTCGCGCTGACATAGTGACTAAGTTGCAAAAGATAACAAGCAAAATGTGATGGGGGCTTGTCGATATAAGGCTGATCAATGAAGTCACTGCGTCTACCGCGGCTTCTTCCACTGCTCACGCCTACGGATTTCAGGCGAATTTGGTATACCTGATGGAACAAACCCACGACACACGACAGTCAGTGCCGTCCTCTGTATCTCAGAGATCTAAACCACAGAATCGCAACAGTCCAGCTGTGGGTTTGAGCCCAGCAAGGGTCAGACGGAATGCGCACTGCTGACGATCCCCGAAAGGATGAAACAGCTGTATGACATTTTTCCAGGCGGGTGATGATTTTCTGACTCAGTCTAGATATGACGAATTACTTACCAATACATTCAAGTAACCCTACTACTCTTCCATACATAATTATTCCGCACAACTGAATCAAGAGACCACGTGTAGTGGATGATTCCAAATGCCACGAACCCTCCTACTAATCACTAACAACGAGATAAAGCTTCTAGTTGAATATCTGGGAGTCACGTAGAAACTCATGAACGAGGCTACTGCTGATCCATCCGTACACCGGAGTGGAATTTCGGTTAGGTACCTGAATGACAAACCTTAAGAAGGTGGACAATACCTTGCATTTAAAGCAGTGGATGTGTCTTTTGGCTTCAAAATGCATAGTAGAATCCGAAGACTAGACCTATATAACACCGATTCTAGTACAGACTGAACTGCCACTAGAAATCCTGGACCGGTTCACGTACCATGGGAACTGTGTCATCGGAGTGAACATCACAGAGCATTTTATTTCGCGTAACATCGAAGCCCTGTGGCTTTACAGATACTCAACCATTTAAGGAGACGGTGTGATATCAGCATGTCAGGGAAAGGCAAGGTGTAAAACTCTGCGATGAGGCAGGTGTTTTTACGTAGATCAGAGACCTGACAACGTCACATAGAAAGCATGCAGCGGCTAGCATCGTTTGACCACCGGTGCTCGCGGATTATAGCACACACTTGGTGGGAACGCCAGGTGAGTATTGCTGAGGTTAGTGAGTTGTTTTTTGTCAAGAAGCTCTCGGGTAGCTCGCTGGAGTGTCAGTTGTAACTGAATTGCTTACGTTGGCCAGTCCGCATCCTCCGTACGCCAAAGTGAACATCTCGGTGTGCAAAATGCGCTGGCGCCGCAACCTGTTGGCGGCGAATTCGGTGTCCAGTTGATGATGTGGCGTTAGGGCTTGAAGCTGTTGAGCGAGAAACCTAGTGAGACAGCTGCGTGCCGTCCTCGTGGATGGGCCCTCCGGATGACCCACATCAGTGGTTTGGGACTTGATCGGACAGAACGCGGTCGCTCAGTCAGTGATTCTCCTACATTAGGTTCCCTGCATCTAAATGGCAAAATTTCAACCAGCTTAGTTTACGTATGTCTCTTACTTCCACATCCTAGTACTAAATTTTTATTACATCTCGGAAACACTGTACAACACGACGCGTCTCGACCTTATTCGATTTCATGGATTGGAAATAGCACAGCTTGAAACCGGGACCATTAGAATGTCAGCAGTGACGGGTAACGTTTGGCACAACTGGAAGCGGATGTTACCAACCATGTAATCACGTGAAGAGTCAAATGAATAGATTCGCCTGCTACGTTTCACGGTATCGAGTTGTAGAACTGAACGATCTGTAAAGAAAAACGTTTCTGAGCAGTAAGAGCAACAAACAGAAAGCACGCGATATCAAGGAAGATGGTATAACGCAAGTGACACGAAACAAGATTAACTCGCATCATTAAATGCACACTCACCCAAATGAACAGTTCTGAGGTGGCTTTGCAAATTGCATTTCCCAAAAAACGACCTGCCACAGTGCTCACACGTATAGGGTCGTTGCCCTGCAGCAAGGAACCAAAGGTTATCAGTTACACGTGAATAGCACAGGAAAACTGACCAAGAATGGTGAATGCTTTAATAGGATGGGTGCATCCAAATCCAAGATAATAGAGATTTGATGATGATTATGACATTAGAGGATTGGCTGTATAACACAATGGTTTAGTGTTCGAGGATTAGGTAACATAAAAGAGAAATACGAGATAATGAGTGCGAAGAGCCCTTCGGTGGTAGCGATAGCATATTAACAGTAGGCACCAAACGAAGCATCCAATATTTCTGTTCGTCCACGTCATTCAAAAAGCGCAAGACAGAAATAGATCCAGTGAACGACAACAAGCCTCAGGAGACGACGCAATCAGTGCAGTTAGAATCAGAAGTAAACCAACCGCTGATAGTCTTAGGAAGATTCCGATTGCTTTCGAAATGGTACGTACCGCATAAATCCGAGAAGCAATAATGCAACAAACGATCAAATACCAAACTACACGGTGGCCCAAAGATAACTTGAGAGGTGATCTACACAACTTGTTCCTAAGGAAAGAGTAACTATCGGTCGTTAACGGATGCTTGCTGAACTCCGCCTCAAAATTCTATGACAGTTCCGTCGAGGTCGGCCTGCTATCGGACGGACGAGAATGAGTGCGCAAAGTTTCGTTTATTCGCCTAACATTGACGCAATACAGTTGGTGAAGATATGTATAATGTACGTGATTGTCAATAAGTCACCCCAGAAAGCAGAACCATCTCCTTAGCCATCAGCGACGGAACTTTGGAATGCATACATGCCTTTTTTGGTCCTGTGAATGAACAGCAGTTCTTCGTCGTTGCGGAATTTTTCAGCAAGTTTTCGGCAAGCAGCATGCAAACAGTGGTGCAATCAACAAAGTATTGGGAGGTCTTTTCAGCCAGCATGGAGTATCGGAGAGTTTGGTCACAGACAATGGTTCGCTATTAATCACCTTCTAGCTTGATGAATACTGTGCGCAGTTTGGTATTACACATTTACGCCGTTTTACCTGAAATCCAGTCCAGAAGCGAAATGTTTTGCCGATAGGATCAAACGTATGTTACTGAAAACGATGAGGAGAAGGGACTACAAATCTGTCCCGGAACTCCAGGTGCCAAACATGTCATCCGCAGAGGCTGACATGGGAAGGAAAATTTGAACTGTTAACTCGTTGCTGCTGCTAAGGAGTACTGTTCCGCAAGAAAACAGATGTGGATTTACAATACAAGGAAACAGAACCCAAAAAACATAGGGTCTTGGTCAGAGATAATGTAACGGGGAGAGCATTAGGGACAACAGACTCGATTCAGAGCAGAATAAGAAAAGTGACCTACCAAATCAAAAGTGATTTAATTTAGACCAGACATGCAAATCAGTTGATGCCTACTAGTATGCGTAATATTAAAATAACCGATCGCTACCACCCGAACTTATCTTGAACAGCATGGACGTATACAATATAACTCCAGGCGTGTCATACGAAGAGTGCGCAGCAGTGTCAGGAGAAAGGAATTTGCAACCAAGACGTTGGACTGAACGGAAAAGACAATGACAGCATACCCTGGGCATGCACTCGGCAATGAGCATATGTCATTGGGGCGTTGCAATGCAAAGCTATCAACTGGCAAAGGTTGAGTTTCATTGAGAAAGTGGTGACCACATGAACTGAAAGTGGGTGTTTGGTAAACAGCAAAAACTTCGCAGCCGCAGTCCAGATGACCACAGAGGGGGGTTAGTGAGGCTCCATGTATTACGGACGTGAGAAATACAGCCCACTGCAGTAGCTATCACAGGACGCCCACAATCAGCAGTAAGGTGCCATTGCTGAGTCTGATACGCTTCAGTCAATAAATAATGGGTTGATCGCGGGCAAAAATAATGATGCAGCAACAATCCCACGTAATGGTGCAGATGAGAATCTAAAACCGGAATGGAGCCCACCAACAAAAAATGCCTCGTTAGGATTTTGCTACAAAGTTCATCCAGTGACTGACAGAAATGTATCTATGCGTTTTCTGAGTCAAAATGTAACCAGAGCCCACAGCTTGCCTGTTATTAGTTACCGCTAAACACAATGTACGGTGCGTAACGCACATATGTGAGTGTCGATTATTCAGTATTGCAGTTGTCGGAGCCACGATTAATGACTCCAGAAAGGTAACTCGGTGAGAAGCCCTGGAAATGATCAACAGTAAAACCTTCGTAAGTTGACCACTCAAGGGACTGGACCAAAGTGGTCAACACAGAGAAGTGATCAACATACGGAGGTTGTCTACCAAAACTTGGAGTGACCTGCTTTACCGTTGCGAGTAGTATAGTGTGAAATTTATTTGAAGATAGACCCGTTTCGAACACATTAGACGAGGTCTCACGTAACACCAAACGCAGTTCAACCATACAGCGTGATAATAAATCAAAAACGCAGTGCGTATTACGCAAGTTAAAGCATATTTTGAAGAAAGTCTTTCCCGTATGACAAAGGTAAGTAAAAAAGCGCTCACAGCACAAGTCACACTACTCTGCATGCTTTGACATTTTACCCACAGCAAAGGATTCCAGTTGCATTAAAAGGTATCTAACTTCATCTTATTTTGGAGTTTCTGTGATTTCCTAAAGCAGCCAGAACGACCCGGTAGGGGAGAACGCTGTTTATTGCACGCGGAGAGGTTCACACACATGTCCCACGCACACACACAAATATAGCCGCGTTTCCCACTTACGACGCACCACGTTCCGCCGAGTGAAGTGGTGTCCACTACGCGCCATTAGGCTGATCCGACCTGGACATTGAATGTGCCGTTTTCCGCCCACATTTCTGCTCCCTTGCGTCGCAGCCTATCCAGACTGGATTCGTACCAAAGCTCTCGACTTGCTTGCTCGGGGCTGTGTTGCCCTGATCGGGCCGATTTCTGAAGCCGTAGATAAAGGCATAGCTCTTGGGAAAATCGGGCTCCCTTTCATGTCGCCTCTTGTTCTTCTCGGCGTGGTCGCGGTATCGTTTGTCGCTGACGACCCATTCCCGGCTTGCATCGTAGGCCACGAGCTAGGTTGACGATTTCCGTTCCCAGTCTCCGCGTTAGTCCCGATCTCCTGCTGCTTCCGGGGCATTTCCGTGTGAACTGAGATCCGCGCCCCTACACCCGCCCCCTCTCGAAAACCTGTTTCCCTCGTATGCCATGGGCGTAGAAGAGATGCGTTTACCCAGCGTTTCACCACGCCGTTGTCGATATGGCAGCTCGTCACTTTTCGCTCGATCACTGTATAGGGACCTTTCCAACGTTGGTTGAACTTGCTCGCGCCGGGTCCTTTGTGTGACGGTGGATCGTTATTGCGTAGCTTGACTTGGTTTCCTAGGTTGAATGGTCTCCATTTGTCTGCCGCATATCTCGCACCATAGTTCCGCTTGTTGCGTAATTGCCGAGCCCTCGTTTCCCTTCTAGCGGTCGTTGTCAGCCTTCGGTATTGTAGGGCTGGATGTTCGCGCTCGCAGTCGATTGTCAAGTAGGTGCCGATTGCAATCCTTGGTTCTCTGCCAAATTGCAATGCAAACGGTGAAACCTTGGTGCTTGATTGCATGCTGATTCGATGAGCGAGCAGCACCTCCGGTAACGCTTCCTCCCACGGTAACTTTGTGCAGTTCATCCAAGTTTTCAGAGTTCGGCTAAACCGTCCTGTCATCTCGTTGGTCTGCGGGTGGTAAGGCGAAGTGCGTTTTCTCCGAATGCCCCATTTGGCCAACATGGCCTGAAACGCTTTTGATTCAAAGCACGGACCTTAGTCGGTGATAACGCTGTGCGGTATTCCATACCTCGCCGGTACGTTGAATTCGAACGCCTGTGCCACGGTCTCGCCTGTTTGATCTTTAATTGGTATCGCTTCGACCCAACGAGTGAAATGATCAATCATCACCAGGATGTAGGCGTTACCCGATCGGCTCAGCGGCAGCGGTCCAAATATGTCTAGTCCCCAGCAATGCAGTGCCTCGCTGATTTCATTCGCGGTCTGGGTGCATCCATCTCACGGCTTGCTTGACAGTTTGGGCACCCTCGGATATATGCCGCAACGTCCCTTCTCGTGGTTGGCCAGAAGACTCGTCTCCGCAGCAAGTCAAAAACTCTCAAATCCCATGTGTGCGCTGTCATGGACCATTTGAATCACCCGCTCCCGTTGACTTTGTGGGATAAAAGGAAGTCTCATTCCGTTTGTCTGCACCTTCAAATTACCGTTTACCGTGCACAGCCTGTCCCAGATCCTGACGAGATTTTCCATTTCCCCCGCTGTGGCATCCGGTTTGGTACCCAATTGTAAATGGCTACACAGCGACTGCACCAGTTTATCCTTCCTTTGAACTTCGAGTAGCGTGCCCCTCCCAACTGTGACTGCACACACCGGTATGGCAGTGTCCGGTATGACGTCGTCCAACAACGGCCGCGACAGCATATCAGGTAGCACATTCTTCGTCCCATCCACGTGTCCGATTGTGAAGGTAAATTCTTGGAGTCGATATGCCCATCGTGCAAGTCGTCCTCGCGGATCCTTCGTTGTCATCAACCATGAGAGCGGTTTGTGGTCCGTCAAGACGTGGAATTCATTCGCCAACAGGTATGCCCTCCACTTCTCCAGGGCCCATACCATAGCTAGACATTCCTTCTCTGTCGTTGAGTACTTCTGCTCGGCACTCGTCAGCACTCGACTGGCATATTCTACGACCCCCGATGGCTGGGAAAGTACCGCACCGGTGGCGACGTCGCTAGCATCAACTGACACCGTAAATTTTTCACTCGGATTGGGTAACCGAAAGCACTTTGGAGATTCCGCCACGCATGTTTTGATGTGATTGAATGCTTCCTCTGCCTCCGTTGACCACACGAAACGTTGATCCTTCTGCAGCAACTTCAATAATGGACTGATGCTCTCTGCAAAGTGAGGGACGAATTTTGAATCATATGCCACAACTCCCAGGAAGGAACGAAGCTGGCGTTTGGATTCAGG